AGCATCCTCAAGAGACCTTATATTACTTGCCAACCATTTTGGAGAAGAGAAGTATATGGTGTTTCTTTTTGAATTCAAGTGTTGTATAAAGTTTAACTGCCTTTTGCTTTAATGGTGGCTGTTCACATAATATTTTGAAAACATACTTGTAATTTTATATAACCAACAACTAATGTTATTGTGGTTTAGCAGTAAATAGTTGTTGAAATGGAATCATGTGAAGGCTAATAGATGAGGTCAGCCAGATGCAGCTGGTCTATTTTTACCCTTATCATGGTTATTTATCCTTTGTTGATGGCCCTATCAAAGTTTATGAGATTAAAAAAAATGAAAAAAGAAATCATGAATGGTCCCAGACCATGCCTGATTACTGCAGCATCTGTACCAGGTATTCTCTCCTCTGATGGTTTCTCCTGTAGCAGCTCAGGATATCCTGGCTGATCCTGAAAACTATTGTTGTGATTGTGAATAATAAAAAAACAAATCAAGGCTGATTAGTTTGTTGAATTAACAGAACTGCAGCAAAGAACTCTGATTTTGTGATATTTTACCTCTTATTGGCAGATGGAAATAATGGCAGAATCTAAAATGAAGGCAGAAATCCAAGCTTTAACCTCCCTGTCGTCAGATTACCTTTCCAGAGTGTACTTACCCAACAAGTTAAAATTTGGAGGATGGATATAAAAGCACACGTGGAGGATGGAAGAATCTGTTTTCCAGAGGCCCTTCATTAGTTTAACTGGCAAACACTGTTGTGGGAAGAATATGTATTTGTAGTTCCGTAAAGGTAAAGGCAAATAATTTCCATTAATTATATGTTTTGTCAAAATAAGTGCTATATTCTAATTTTCTCTAAAAGATTTTATGTAGGGCTGTGGTTGTGGCTTGGTGGTAGAGTGCTTGCCTACATGTGTGAGGCACTGGGTTCAATTCTCAGCACCACATATAAACAAATAAAAGTCCATCAATAACTAATAAAAATTTTAAAAATAAAAGATTTTATGTAGACTGATTTTTATCCTATCTTCTAAATTGTAAAAGAATATGATTTTGACTTTTAAATTTTATTTGGAAAAAATGTTTTATTTGAATAAAAGTCTGAAATATTTGTCTTCTAAATATAACTAATGTAAGACATGAGATTTTATTAGTAACAAAAATAACAACAGTCAATATGAAATGTTGCAAAGAAATTATAGCATCTGGTAGTTTCTTTCTACATTCTCTTTTGCCTTCAAGAATTATTTTACTTGTAAATTAATTTACTCTTTTGTCCTCAAGAATTAATTTACTTGTAAAACTAGTAATATTTACCATGAAATAATACTTGGATTGATGTAGTCCTCCATGCTTTGCTTTACTTTGTTTGGGACCTACTTTTTTATCGACTGTATTATTAGAAAATTTTTCCCCAGGGGTTGTTCATTATTGCTCCAATTCAAGTCCATTATTCTTTAGTCTAGATCTATAGAACAAAGAACTTCTTCAGTTTTAAGATTCACAGAAGCTTCAAATTTTAATACGTGCTTCTCCAACAGTAATAATGTGATCTTTTCCCTTTATAAATTTACCTTAATTTTGATATACATGAGTTTTGTGATTTTATTCTGTACTTTCAGTAGATCATTAGCTGCACCAAACATTGCTAGTGAATTCAAGCAAGAATATGTATTTATATCAGTACATAAATGTTGGGTTGGTTTATAAAGATAAATGGTAATAATAGATAGCATTTCTGAAGTCTTAGATGTGCCAGTCACTGCTCACACATCTCATTTCATTCTCCGAAGAACCCTGTGATTACTCAGCAATTACACCAGGGTTTATAGGTGACAGCACGAAAGATGTTACTTGTCCAAAGCTTCAGTCATACTAGGGGACAACAATACCATCCACCTCAAGAGCAGCACCAGGTACAGAATACGCAGGCCAAAGGCAAATTGTAAGTGGGAACCCTTGTTCTAAAGTTAAGAATCTCAAGAAAAGTAGCATAGGGAATTAAACCAAACACAGGACCCTTCTTAGCCAGGGGTCCTGTGACTGCACGGGCTATGGGATGGCCTGCCTGAAAGGCTGGAGTAAGGGTTAAGCAAGTAATAACAATTTAAAAATATTTTGCTGGCACTTGGTATGTGCCAGGTATTTTTCTATGTGCTTTGCAAACAATAACTCATTTCATACTTACACCCCTAGGAGCAGGTACTTTTTATTGTCATCCCCATTTACAGATGAGAAAATAAAGGAACGGAGTTTAAGTAACTTTCCTAGGGTCATATAATTAATAAGTAATAGAAGCTGGGCATGGTGGTACATGCCTTGTAATCCCTGCAGCTCGGGAGGCTGAAGCAGGAGGATCGCAAGTTCAAAGCCAGCCTCAGCAAAAAGCAAGGTGCTGAGCATCTAAGAGAACCTGTCTCCAAATAAAACACGAAATAAGGCTGGGGATGTGGCTCAGTGGTAGAGTGCCCTGAGTTCAATCCCCAATACCGCTCCCTGAAAAAACAAACAAAAAAAAAGATTAATAGAGTCTAGACTTAAACATGAGAGTCTGGGTACCACTACCCTGGTATGTGTAAAGTGCTTCACATTTGTCCTGGCATGCACCCTCTAGGTGAAGGACTGAGATTCTTATTGTTGTATGCCAAACTAAGGTCCCCCTGAGGACACATTAACAAATATTTTATATTCCCTGGACACTTGAATATCAGACATTTCATTTTGAGAACATTTCTTGTATGCCCTTAATTTGACTTGCTTGAGAGACTATTAAAAATTTTAGGCATATTATTATAAATTTCAAAGTTTTTCTTTGAATTTATACCATACCTAATCCCTTAACATGTAACAATGTCACTGAATTTTGACAGATTTTATAAAGGAGGAAATTACTAAGTTAGAAATCTATTTAACTCACAAAACATCTGTGTTAGGATACACTGTCAAAAATGGGAGTGACAAACATACAATATTATTAAATATATTGTATATTAAATATACAATATTATTAAAATTTGAAAATGATTTTCAGATATAGTTCAGTTCAGATAAGAAATCTACTCACTTTTTAAGTGAGCAGTAACTAGTACAACAAAAAGATGTCCAGTCTTTTTTTTTTTTTCTCAAGGGCTCATAAAGATCCTTGTAAAAAAGAAGGTGTTTGTAATACCCATTTTCTGAGAAATTTAAACGATGTAGGTATCTTTTTAGTGCTATTGAAGAGAACAGGTGCTCTCAAAACTAAGCCATATGTACATGTACACTAAAAGCATCTTCAACAGGATGTTTTTGTAGTAAAATACTGAGCAACTCTCACTTGGTTTGCTAGGTAGACTTGGGTTCACCATTCCCTGGTGTCTGTCCTAAGGTCACAAAAACCCCCAAACAAGCCAAGGTTGCCCTCTGCTGGCAGAAGCTCATTGTTCTCTCATCCTTCCACTATTTTGGGTAGAAATTCCTTTAAAATATTTTCAAGTCATTTTTTTAAAAGAAACAGAGTGGAACAATCTGTAACACAAAAACAGAGATTGGGGAAAATCACAAGGAATTACATGTTAAGTACTTCTTGACAGGAAACCGCTTTGAATATCCCAATTCCTGGTACAGATAACACTCAGTGTGTACACTTTGCAAACAAGGTGTTTAGAAATCTTAAGCCAAAATATTAGAAGTTTTTAATTAAAATTTCAAAATTATATAATTTAAAATGTAAATAATTTATTCTAAAATTACATACTCAGTTTCTATTCATCTAAAAACAGAGTATAAACTATCATTCATAAATATCCACCTGTGTAAAAACGGCAGAAAAGTTTGCCAATGTGAATGATGACCACAATCAAAATCTAATTTTAATAATTTTGCTTTAAAATTATTTTTGCCTGTATAGTCCATGGATACAAATTTTATAGATCTTCCCTTCTAGGGGAAAAGTGAGCCGCCAGCATTTTGTCATCTGTAAGTAGTCAGGTGTGGGAGCAGGCCGCCAGCTGTCCAGTTCCACCCCTGCCCTGTGGCTGGGAAAACGGCAGTCTAATCTCAGTTTCTGGCACAAATGTGGGCTCTCCGACGGAATCTGCGCGTACACCAAGATCCCACGGATCCCGGGGATGCTTGAGGCGGTCATGGCATGCAGACCAGGCCCAGTAGTGAACTCGGCCGAAGGTCCCGTGCTTCTCTGAGTGGGCACAGTGGACACGAGTCCACAGGACCCACAGCTCCTTCTTAATTCAGCTCAAGGTGGCCCCTCTTTGGAACTGAACTCCTGCACTGGGCCCGGCAGAACAGACGGACGGAGTCAAAAACGGAGTCACCAAGCTGAAACTTGTCATGTGACCTTTCAGAAAGCAAGCAAACTGAGGTCACAGCCAAGTGTCCTAGACGGCCAGCTTCGGTCGGCATGATAACGAGGCTCCCTCCGCCTGGACGCCCGCCACACCAGCAGCCTGGCCTCAAGCAGTCGGCCGCTTACCGCTCTGCGTCCGCGAGGCTCACCCCACGCCGGCAGCAGGACCCCCACCTAAACCCGCAGTCACCTTGTCTCCCGACGCCTTGACGTTTCCACCGAGCGTTACCGGTGGCAGGAGCCTTCGCGTGACATCGCACGGGCAACCTAAACAAGAACCTGGACTCCAGGCCCGGTTATCCCCCGAGGGCGGAGAGGATCCGCGCAGGGGGCCTCCCCCAGCAAGGTCCTGGACATTAACTGGCAGTAATCAGACCTTTGCTTTTTTTAGACTTTTAATCACGACAAATACGAGAATTAATTCACAAGCCGAGAGTTAACTACCTTCCACTAGCCCGGTCGGCCAATTTACAAAAGCGGTTGCTTGGCAACATGCCGCGCTCCACCAATTTACCGCCAATTCGCAAACTGCTAGCGTAAGTACTTCCTCTCGACGTCAACGTCGCTTTGGCGCATGAGCCACCGCCCCGGAAGAAGGAGCCGATTTCCTCAGCGCTTTCCGGGAGAAACCGGAAGTGGCTCCGGGACGCATGCGCTGTCTTTCCGCGGTAATTGGGGCTGTTTCTACCACCAACTGGAGGAGACTCGGGCTCCCGGTGTTTCTGTCCAGGCTATCTCGCCAGTGCTCCTCCGCTCCAGAGCAGGTCTGCAGGCTCCTCGGGTCCACCCGCTGCCCGCTCCCGGCTGCTCGCCGCGGCGACTCTCAGGTAGGCCCCGAGCCGTCCGTTGCAGCGCCTCGCAGCCCGCGGAGGCCAGAGTCCCCTGAGGGGTGCGCCTGGCTGCAAGGCCGCGGCGCGAGCGGCCTGTTGGCCGAGCTTGGGCAGAGGCTCTGCGAAGCTCGGCCGAGCCGGAGGGGGCCTCGGGGGTCGCCTAGGACCTGGTCTCGTCGTTGCCCTTGTAGGGAAACTGAGGCCCCGGGGAGGGTCTCCCGGGGTTAATGGCAGCGTTGTCGCCTTTTCCTTCCATCAGGCACACGACGCCTCTTAGCAGAAGCTCTCCTGACCGGTCCTCTGCACAAAGGCCTCCCTCGCAGGTTGCTTCGTCGCCCTTGCCGCTGTCGGAAGCAGGTCTGTTCCTTGGTCTTCCCTGCCGCGCGTTTCCCCCAGCGTGTGCGTTTGCACTCCCCGGGCCAGGCTCCATGCTGCCGGACCGCTGCGCCCCAGGAAGGACCCAGGCAGCTGCGTGCGCTCCTGGAGCTCGGGACGGACCAAAAACCAGAAAACGCAAATCGGTACAGGGCGCCGCCACTAAAACAAGGGGGTGTGGCAGAAAGTTGGAAATGTTAAATTAGGGAAGCCGCCGAGGGGGTGATTTTTAAAAAGAACAGGGCTGACAGCTTCATGGAAGTCCAACTTACAGAACGTGGATTTCCCAGCTAAAGGGTACATTTTGACGAAATTGGGAACATTTCCATCACCTCAAAACGGTCTGAGGAAGCAGCTTTTGGACTAGAATGTGAAGATTCAAAGGGAGGCAACTGGGGGCTGGGGGGAGGGTGAGCCATTCGTTGGGGTCTGAAGAACCACTGGTAGGATGCACCCTGTGTTCAGGTCAGAAGCAGCCAGCAGAGCCGTGGCTGGAGTTCAGCAGGGAAGAGATTGACACGTTGGGTACCTGCCTTCTCAACTTCTCGGGTTCCCATTGCCCACCACAGCATGTGGCTCGTACTAGGTGATAAGTGTTTGAGTGACTATTACCCAGAGTCCTGTAAGTCCATCCCTGATGGCAACCTGACTGTTTGGGGGGGGGGGGTCAGAAACAGCATTTGTTAACAGCCTGTTGTGTTTCAAGTATGATGTGCTTGACCTTAACTTATTACTCTGTGAAATAGATATCAGTGTCTTTATGTACAGTTGAAAAAGTCAGGACTAAAGAACTTGCCCAAAGCCACAAAACTGTTCCCAGACCCTGGTTACAGAAGCCCTGTGATTCCTATTCCTTCGCTTGTTTGCTCCTGCAGCTAACTGATGCTTCAAGTGCATCTCTACATCTTGGAGCAGAGATGCAGTTGGCAAACACCATGTCCTTTCACAAGGTTGCCTTCTGAAATGTCAGTATGCCCATAGCTGTTGCTCTGACCTATTATGTTTTCACTTTATTTTTTCATCAAGCCAGGGAACTCAGATGCCTTCCCCAAGTTCCTTGCAGTTTCTCCATTCTCTGTTGTCCTGTTTAAGGATATTGCCCTCATTGATCAGTATGTCACTCAGCCGTTAGGCTTCTTTTGGAGAGATGACTGATGTGGTAGACTTCTGAATGTAAAGATTTGCTAACCAATTGAAAACATAGTATCAAAGTATGTGAAATCTTTAGGAAATTATGCATAGACTTTCTCCTTAGAAAGGAAGAGAAAGAAGGAAAAACTGCTTATTGTACTTAGTATGTGCTAGACACTACACTTTCTGCAAATTCTGATTTGATCCTTCTTGCAGACCTGGAGAATATACAATATTCTCTGTTTGCAGTGAGAAAAATGAGGCCTGGTGAGATTAAGGTTCCAGCTTAATCTGAGTGGCAGAGGTTCTATTCAGACTCTGGTGGGCCTGCTAGTTATGCCCTGGAAAAAACTCAGTGGAGATTCTTTTAGGTATATGTCTGTGACCTAATGCCAAACCTTTTGGAATTCAAGTGGACCAAAGTGGATTACTTTTTAAAAACCACTAAATATAGTTGTTGAGTCCCTTCTAGGACTGGTTGTTTTTCTAGGTGACTTCATGCAGATGTTGACCTAACCAGAGCACAGCACTGGGAAGAAAGTGAACTCCCCCCAGATGGGGAATTGAAATGTGGGGATCTTCTGTCCTTTCTGTTGTGTATCTCTGGTGTGGAGCTTAGTGTCTCTGACTATTTAAATGAGCAGATTTATTTCCTAGCTGGTAACTGAAAACTGCCCTGGTGTACCATGTCAGTATTGGTTCATTAGTGGTGACAAATGTGTCATACTCTATCAGATACCAAGAATAGGGGAAACTGGATGTGAGGCATATGGAAATTTTCCTGTCTTTTTGGTTTTCTCTAAATCTTAAACTGTTCTAAAATAGAAGGGTTTTTTTTTGGGGGGGGGTACTGGGGATTGAACTAAGAGGCACTGAGCCACATATTTTATTTAGGGACAGGGTTTCACTGAGTTGTGTAGGACCTCGCCCTTTTGCTGAGGCTGCCTTTAAACTTGCAGTCTTTCTGCCTCAGCATCCCTAGCCATTGGGATTATAGGTGTGTGCCCCTGTGCCCCTCATAAAGCTTAGTCCACTTATTGCATTTTTAGATCTCTTCTGAAGAGAGGAGCCTGGCATGAATCCACTATTTTCTTTCTGTGACTTAAGATCTTTATATATTGCCTCTTAGTGGATTTTATTACTAAAGAAAGGACCTATCCTTAACATGTTGCATTTTATTGTTTAGACACAAAATGAGTCTGTTCGGAACAACCTCAGGTTTTGGAACTGGCGGGACCAGCATGTTTGGCAGCACAACCACAGATAATCACAACCCTATGAAGGTACTGCATGAGGCCTCACAGGGTTTCCTACATCTGTGACCTCAGGAGAAACAAATGGCTGGGGATCCTCCTTTGGAATGAAAGCTCTGGAATTTTGTCTAGCCCAGTTTTCCTGAACCTTGGAGCACAGAAATACCTGAATCCTGGCCTAGTGTCCGGTTCCTCTTGACTTGTCAGGTTTCTATAATCACCCAGGTGCCTGTGAGAAGTGCAGATTCTCAGGGCCAAGCTGAGGACTGTTGGATCAGCATTTCTGTGGGGTGGGGGGGTGGGTAATAGATGTGAAGGATCACTTGGAGCAAGAGTGAACTGGGGGCCACCATGTAGAAAAGGTTTGGGGTCTTTCATTTAGTGTGCTGTTTATAGTCCCAGAGGGCTTAGGACTTTCCTTGGCTTATTTTATCAAAGTAAGGGAAGGTCTAAGTTCTTGAGACAAGGAAAGTCCACCATGGCAAGTTCAGTGAGAAAGAAAGCAGTTTTGACATTGTGATGATGTGTACATTTTAATATTGACTTTCCCTCCCCAGGATATTGAAGTAACATCTTCTCCTGATGATAGCATCGGCTGTCTGTCTTTTAGCCCACCAACCTTACCGGGGAACTTTCTTATTGCAGGATCGTGGGCTAATGATGTGAGTGCTTCTTAAGTGCATCTTCTCTAATCCTATCTTGGTATGGATAAAATTGGCTTTTCCTTAACTCCAGTCTGTACCAAGTGAGTAGATCAGAACTAAGACTTATATACATGGTCTTTTTCAAGAAACTGGCATAGAAACTGTGAACCCTTCTGAATGGAGATATCACAATTATGCATTGCTCAAAATTTCCTACTCTAGTCCAGTATGTTAAAGCATATTCCCAAACCAAGAGTACCATTCACTGAGAAGAATGTTACCCACATTGATGCACACAATTTCTTTCTTGGTGTCCTGAAAGTGTGCTTCAGGCCTGAGTTAAACTTTAGATGATAGCACCAATCCTGCATAGACATTATAATTATCCATTGTGTACAGAAAGAAAGATTAATCATAATGTCCAAAAAAGAATGATAAAAGTTAGAATAGTAAGCACAGGATATGAAGAGGGTCTTCACAAAAGGAGTAAACTGAAGCCATTTAGCCACATTTATATCACTAAGAGACAAATTTACATGATAAATTCTTTTTTTCTACCCAACAAAACATTTTAAAGACTAATAGTACTGGCAAGGGTAAGCTTCAGCCTTTCTTGTACTGCTAGTAGTATGCAAATTGGAACATTCTGGGTAGTAATTGGCAGTATTACTCAGAGATCCTTAAGTCCCATTGATTGTCCTAGGACTTGAGAAGGAAATCTGATAAGGAATTAGTCCTTACATAGAGAAGCACTGTGTGCTTATTGTGTCCATGTTATGAGTCCGGATGCTGAGGCTTAGGAAGCAGAACAACTGGCCCGTTTTCCACGAGTGGTCAGCCAGGGTGCACAGGGAGCTTGGGGCTGTGTCACTGCTGCCTGACAGTACCTCATCAAAGACTGACTTTGTGCCAGTGAAGATGTGAAAGGTTTTGCCTTCAGCAGTGGTGACAATTATGTGCTCAACTGATGGAATACCACTTTCAAGGTTTCTGAAAGAGCAAACTGGCTTACAGCGGGAAGATGGGGCAGTTGGGGGATGAGGGAAGGACTAGGGAGGAGGGAAGTCAAGGTTGGGCAAGTTTATATGTAGTTTTTGTAAAGAGTGGTGTGCTTTTTGATTGTTTGGCTTTTTGTGGTGCTTAGAAATTGAACCCAAGACCTCATACATACTAGGCAAGCACTCTATCCCTGAGCTACATCCCAGTTGTGAACTAGGAGTCATATTTATGACATCTCCAAGTAGATTGCATTACTTTTATAAACAGAAAAGTGAGGTAAAAGTTAAAGCATTCAGAGTAGAAAGGTAAATTTCCACTTAAGTTTTGATTTTCTAAATAGTTATGATTGATAGTCTATTCTTATTTATACATTATTTATTTAGTTTTGCAAAACTGGGTATTGGACCACAGCCTCTGTACCACTCAGCTATATCCCACCCCTTTTTATTTTGAGACAGGGTCTCATTAAGTTGCCTAGGGTTGACCTTGAGCTTTCTTCTCTTCTGCCTCACCCTCCCAAGTAGCTGGGATTATAGGAGTGAGCCTCTACTTCTGCTTTAAAAGATATCTCATATATGTGATGAGGAAATTACTTGCAGTTTTAGATGTAAGCAATAGGATTTGTATATTTTAATAGCTTAGAAGTAGGAAAATAGCTCCTTCTATATGCATTTTGATGGCTTTGTTCTTAAAAGTTACATGATTAGACTAATAGAGGAGTTTGTGTAAATTATAGGGGGCTGGAGATATAGCTCAGTAGGTTGAATGCTTGCCTTGCATGCACAAGGCCCTGGGTTCAATTCCCAGCACCCCCAAAAAAAAAAAAAAAAAGACACTATGAACTATTAACCTGTCTCTTTACAAATTAGAACAAATTAATTAATTAAAAAATTATACCACATCATTCCTGGATAACAGTGCTTCTAGTGCTTCATGAGTTGCCTCGCTTGCTTTAATTGGTCTTGTTCTTACAGGTTCGCTGCTGGGAAGTTCAGGACAGTGGGCAGACCATTCCAAAAGCCCAGCAGATGCACACTGGACCCGTGTTGGACGTCTGCTGGAGTGATGTATGTTCCAATCCATCTCCCACATTCTCTTCTACATAGAGTGCTGTGTGACACACAATAGTTTATAACACAAATACAAGTCAGGTGTCCCGCATCTGATATGCTTGATGGCACTGAACAGTGAAGTGTTTTGGTTCCTTGAATTAAGGATGCCCAAACCATATTGTGTATATATCCACATTGTCGGAACTCCAAGTTTCTGAGTATGAATATAGTAATTCATTGTCACTCTTAATGTTAGCTTCAGTTAGATACTCTCTCTGGAAGCTTTGCTTGCATTAAAGCCATTTGTTTTGTTGATATGTTTGTTTTATTTGGGAGGGGGTATAAGGGATTGAACTCAGGGGCACTTAACCATTGAACCACATCCCCAGCCCTGTTTTGCATTTTATTTAAAGACAGGATCTCACTGAGTTGTTTAGGGCCTCACCATTTCTGAGGCTGGCTTTGAACTCATGATCCTCCTGCCTCAGCCTCTAGAGCCACTGGGATTACAGTTGTGTGCCACCGCGCCTGGCTGTTTTATTGATATGTTACCTGGAGCAAGAAATTATATCATTTCTTGAAACCTTTCCTGTATCTAAATACACCATAAGCTCATGGGGTTTTTTTTAAATATATTTTTTAGCGGACAAAATACCTTTATCTTTATGTGGTGCTGAGGATCGAGCCCAGTGCCTCACATGTGCCAGGCGAGCGCTATACCCCTGAGCCATAACCTCAGCCCTAAGCGTATGTTTTAAAATCAGAAATTTTATTATTCCAGAAATATCTAGAGGGGAAAAAAAGAATACTTTCTGTTATTAGAAATTTGAATTGTATCAGTTTTCAACTACTTTCTCCTCCTAAGATCCTGAATATAAGCACTTGCACACATTTATTCTGAGCTTTTCTTTTTTCTTATTTCTTTTTCCCTCTTTTCATATTTGAGGAGAGCGTAGTGATGAAGGGACCGTTGGCAAGGCAACAGATGGGAGGCAAGGCACCTGTGCTGCTCCCTGGGAGGGACAGCTGAGCTCTGGAGGAGCTGCTGCTGTGGAGGGCTGGCCACCTCGGCAGCAGGTGTGGCTCTTGCCCGTTGTCCTACCCCTGCTGCCTGGTTCCTGAACCCAGCAGAAGCAAGAGGCAGGTGTACATGACGCTAAGGAAGTCAGTCCTCCTGGCCCTTTCCAGGCTTTGTTCCTGTCTTTTCTGACCAGTTTTATTAGGTTATTTTCAGACATTTATTTATTAGGTATAAGGTAAAACTGAACCTTTGAGCTCTAGCTTTGTTTTGAGGAACAAAGACCATGTTCAGTTGTGGAACAATCCCTCAGCTCCAGATGCCCTCCTGCCCTTCTGTAGTCAGATCCTTCCCAGCTCTCAGCTCCTGGAAACCACTGATCTATTTTCTGTCCCCAAATGTTTTGCTTTCTAAGCATGTCATATACATGGGATTGTACAGACTGGAAACTGTAAGTCTAGCCTCTCCCTCAGTCTGCTGCTTCGGAGGTCATCCAGGTGGGGGGCATCACTTCCTCCTCTTCATTGCTGAGCTGGGATCCGTGTGTGAGGTGTTCCTGTCTAGTCATCAGATTGCTCTGCATCTAAAGTTTATTCATTCATGGAATGAGGGACAGGCTTCACCTCTTTTTCAGATGGAGAACTGGTGGCTTCAAAGGGGAGAAATTTTTGCCAAGGAAGAGTGGAAAGTCTGAGCTTTGACACCAGAAGTGAAATAGCCTAGGCCAGGGGTTAGCAGACTCTGGCCGTGAGCCCGATCAGCCCTTGCCTGCTCCTGTGAGTGCACTTTAATTGAGCCCAGCCTCATGCATTCACCACAGATGCACGTAGCTCTTTTAAGCAGTGCCAGGGTAGGCCTGCTCCGTGGCTTCTGTTTCTGAGTGTATCATTAGTCAGTGACTGCTTATGTTTTGAGCTAGTTTGCAATTTATACCATCAATTCTTATAAATTAGTGTAGTTTTATCACACATACTTTGGAGTGCCATTAGACATAGAGCTGAACAAGCTAACTCTGTGTGTGTGTGTGTGTGTGTGTGTGTACATGCGCTGGGTGGGGGCAGGCGGAATAAGTGTGGCATATGTTTACAGTTGGTGAATCTTGGTGAAATGTTTACATTTATTTATTTTTCTGGCACTGGGGACCACTGAGCTGTATCCCTTCCCCTTGTTTTTGTTTTTGTTTTTAATTTTGAGACAGGGTCTCACTAAGTTGCCAGGCTGGCCTCAAAATTGTGGTCCTCCTACCTCAACTTTGTAAGTTGCTGGGGTTCCAGGCGTGCACCCCTATGCTGGAACACTTTGTATTATTATTGTAATTTTTCTGAAGGCTTACATTTCTCAAATAGAAAAAGATTTTAAAAGTAGACCAAAGTTGCCTTTGAGGGATGAGATTTAGTTTTCATTATATAACTTTTAAGTGTTATTTGGTGGATTTTTAAAATATTCTATTTATATATTATTTCTTAGGTCAATAAAATATAAAGCTAGAGCTGAAAGTGTGTTTTGTTTATGACCTGTGGCTTGCAGTATGGTGGCCCCCAAATAATTGGGAAAATAAAAATTGGAAAACAAATGTTCAACCTAGTATCAGAATTTACATAGATTTAATTTTTCTCCATTTTGTTTTAGGAAGGGAGCAAAGTATTTACAGCATCATGTGATAAAACTGCCAAAATGTGGGACCTCAATAGTAACCAGGCAATACAGATTGCACAGGTAACATAAGCCCTTTGCAAATCAGCAGGATAGGACTGCTGCCCAGGGTTGTGATGATTGTAATAATTCCCTGCTATAGAAAAGAACAACGTGAGTGTACAAAGTCAATCAGATTTAAGTGTACTAGAAAGTTCTTAGCACAAAAATAATGTTTTTTGGCCATTTTTTCTTGTTCGTGGTATTTTCCTAGAGCCTTTTGCATGTGTCTTCCCTGTATGTGTGGGTGGTGCCATCAGGAGTTAGTGGCATTAAAACCTATAAAGACAAGGGCTAGAAGTGTTCCCCAGCATGGCCATGTGGCCTCCCCACACCTGTGTGTGACTTGTCTTTCACCAGCTGCGTTGGCTCGCTTGTTCTTCAGGTGTTTACTGAGTGGCCATGTGCCAGGCACTGTCTTCAGGGTCTGGAACTACTGCCTCAAGTAAGCGGGACGCCTCCACATGCCCACAGAGCTTTTGTAGCATGTCTAGCTTTTGTAGCAGGCAGGTTCTCCCGTGAAGAATGCCAGGAAGGGGCAGCAGTAGTCACTAGGGGCATTCACAGAGCCTCTTGGCAACCGCGTGTTTTCAGGACAGCATCATGTTCTGAAGTCCCAGTGCCACATGCTGGGGCCTCTCCATCTCTCCTTGGTACATGTGTAAAACTGGCATGGTTCTCACTAGCCATTTCTGCATATCTCCCCAGGGAGGGCCATGCTGTCACTCTTAGTTATCAGTAAGTCAAATTGAAGTTTGTAAAATGAAAGGTGGGTGTATGCTCTTGTGTCAGATGGACTACTTTTGGTCCTGGGGAAACACTGAAATATTCTTTGATAATTAGTTCCTTTTCTGCGAATCTCTAGAAGTGTTGAGCACATTGTTAGGTTACATTGATCTGCTTGTTTTTTGTCTTGTTGAAAGCATGATGCACCTGTTAAGACCATACATTGGATCAAAGCTCCAAACTATAGCTGCGTGATGACCGGGAGCTGGGATAAGACTCTGAAGGTGCAGTATGCAAGAGGGAGTGTGTGGCCCCGGCATGGCAGTCCTAATTCTTCCCTGGGTAGATTTCAGCTTGAACACTCACACAGTGCTCCTTTTGGCTTTTAGTTTTGGGATACCCGGTCATCAACTCCCATGATGGTCTTGCAGCTCCCTGAGAGGTGTTACTGTGCCGATGTGGTAAGGAATTTTATTTTCTTTAAAATAGCAAAATAGCACTGGGCGCAGTGGCTCACACCTGTAATCTCAGCAGCTCAGGAGGCTGAGACAGATGGATCTTGAGTTCAAAGCCAGCCTCAGGAATGGCGAGGCGCTAAGCAACTCATTGAGACTCTGTCTCTAAACAAAACACAAAATGGGGCTGGGGATATGGCTCAGTGGTCGAGTGCCCCTGAGTTCAAGCCCTGGTATCTCACCACCACCAAAAAAAATAGCATTTTTTTCCTTCTGGCATCCTGCAATTAGTAGGTAATTGAAAAATTCTCCTTTATTAATAGATATGGGGGAGGGGTATAGTTTAAATTACCCTAGTCACCTAAGTTGGTTTAGGGGTTGCATTTGTTCAGAACTCCTAAATACTGGTGGTCACTTTTTAAACATATGCAGCTAGGTATGTGCCATCCTACTGTGAATTTGTTGTGAAATGGTAGCAAAACTTGTGGTTATTTTGTGATGTGATTCCAGTTTTCACAGTCCTGTCTCTGAGATGGAAACCAAGGTGCTTTTTCCATTTGTTAGTCAAGAGCCAAAGTTTTATACCAAGTGTCCCAGAAATTCCACTTTTTAGGAATTTATCATGAGAAAAATGATGGGTACAAATGGTCTTTCCTTGACATAATGTGAAACATTAAAAGTGACCGGTGGACCTACATGGTGGGCATAGTTAACCACGCCCCCTGAGCTGTGGCATGTTTGAGGGAACACGACGCAGCCATTGTGATGTTCTCGGATAAATGTGAGTTCCTCACCGATGCTCATAAAGCACAGCTTGAGTGGAGGACACGGGTTTCACAGCACAGTGAAGACACACAAGGCTCAGAAGACTGGAGTCGAGTGTGCCGTAGTATTAGCTGTGAGCTTTTGAAGGCCTGGTGTAGGTGATTTTCATTTCTTCTCAGTTCCTCAGAACATTTCCTAAATGTTCACATATTTTATGGTTTTAAAAAACGAGGCTTAAATATATATGAATATTCTGCCTACAGATAGTTTCTCTAGGTTTTCGTGAAACATTGATGCCATTGAATAGTTAAACTTTTAAGAAGTTGAGGTTTTTGTGACTAGAAAAGCCCGCTCCTTCCTGTTCAGTGTCTGTTTCCCTCCATTCCCTAGATCTACCCAATGGCCGTGGTGGCGACTGCAGAGAGGGGCCTGATCGTGTATCAGTTAGAGAACCAGCCCTCTGAATTCAGGAGGATAGAATCTCCACTGAAGCACCAGGTAAGCGGAAGCCCGTGAGGAAGCATGTGTCGAGCACCTGCTATGTGCATGATGGTGCTGCATAGAGGACAACTGTATCTGCTTTAAAAGCCTGGAAGTTACCTAGGGAGTGAGTTTAAGGAAACAAACAGATGTTTGGTGAGTAAAAGCCACCCATCCGTGGGTGAGCCCACCTCACCTGTCTTCTGTGGGTGGCCAAGTGCTGCTGAATAAAGCACACACCTGCTGGGTTGGCTCCCGGGCAGTTCATCACTTCCAGCCTCAGCTCTGCCTTCATCGTGCACGCGTGGTTGCAAGGCCCCCTCCAGCTTTTGTAATCACCAAAGACTGTGTCTCCTTAAATCCCTGGAAGTAACTGCCAGACTTTCCAAAGTAGGGGCAGCCACACTGTATGCAGCGGCTTCATCTTCCCATTGGCCACAGGACTGCTGGGCCTGCTTCGCTCTCCTTAGGCTCCCTTTAGCCTTTGTCTCAGTGATTGAATTCTCCTGTTCAGAGAATAAAGGAGGGTCCTTGTCTTCCTTCTGCTGGATTTGCGAGTCTGTGAACCTGCATCCTTCCCTGCCTCCCCTGTCAGGTGGGGTTCTTAGGCCAGTTCTATGGTAGCTCCCCTTGCCCTGCAGCTTAGCAGGAAAGATGATCTATTTTCACTGTCCGGTAGCTTCTGGCTCTTAGTTCTTCACCAAAGGGTGCCCAAGCCTGTGCATCCCTCCACACAGATCTCCCTGACCCCTATCCTCCTACAGCTCACCTGCACACTTGTTTCCTTTCGTGGTCTAGCATGGCCTGTGTTTGTCCCCTTCCAAACTTAACTGATGACTTAACTGAAACTCTGGTGTGACCCCTGCTCAGGTCTGCTCATGAGCCACTGGGCCTTGGCTCCGTGCTGCCAGCCTCTTCCTTGTTGGCTCTTTGCTGAATGTTGAGATCCCCCCTCTTCTGCCTGTGCGACCGCCTTCCAAGCCAGACTCATCTCCCATTCGTCACTGTCCACAGTCATGCTTGCAGGCTAGAGATGTGGGTCCCCAGCAGACACTGCTACTATGCTCCCGACAACGACACCCACACTCCAGTATCTCCCTTGTTTCTCCCAGAGGTCCCCATCCAGCAGCACCCTCTCCAAACCCAGGACCCCTTTCTGCATCGCTTTTCAAATATTTTCCTCTCCTTGGGATTCTCCTTAGCTGTGGCCCTCAGTGCCGTGGTGCGTGTGTATACATGTAAACACCGGCAGGTCTGGACCTGCCCCTTCCACCACTCCTTCCCTGTTCTTCCTGATGCACTTGTTCCACATCTTATTAGGTTGGACTCCATTTGCTTGGTTGTCTGAGATGGAACTAGAAGTCATTCTTGATTCACCCTCCTTCCTTTTCTCCTCTCCTATCTCATTTATCACCAGGCTCCCTTACTTCCACCTGGGAACTATTTAGAATCTGTTCTTTTCTTTCCCTTCTACCACCGTATTTGATCCAAGTCTTCTTAGCACTTAGATCAAAACTTTATGACATTGGCTTGGCAGTAATTTCTTGGGTGTGTTACACCAAAAATATAGGGAACAAAAGCAAAAAAAAAAAAAAAATGAACATCTACAAAACAGAAAGCTTCTGTGCAGCAAAAGAAGCAATCGGGTAAGAAGGCACCTACCAGTGGGAGAAGACGTCTGCCGGTTACGTATCTGTCCAGGGTAACATTCCAGAGTGTGTGAGGAACTCCTGCAACTCGAAGCAAAAAAAAAAAAAAACTGCCCCGGTTTGGACTGAGTCTTAAGTGGACATTGCTCCAGAAAAGACATGCACGTGGTCAGCGAGTGTGGGAAAGGTGACCACTATGGCTTCTCACTGGGAAATGCAAGTAAAAGCACTGGGGGGCATCCCCTCACACCTTTGGGACCACAGTTACCAAAATGTGAAAAGACGAGTCAGCAAGGACCTGGAGACGTGGAGCCCCGTGCACTCCTGCAAGGCTGCAGGGTGGAGAAGCCACGGTGGAGACAGCACTGCAGAACCTGGCGGTCTGGCCCCTGAGTGCTCACCTACAACCGTGGGGCCAGGATTCAAGCTGTGTGTTCACTGCCGAAGTCACCAGCCAAGTGAGTGGCTGCAGGAAACGCGGTGTGCATGCTGTGAGTACTCTTCAGCCACCGGAGAAGGAGGGCGATCTGCCGTGGTGACAGCATGATGAGCCTGAAGGATGTGCTGTCTTCACACTTTGTTCCTTTACGTAAGATCCTCCAGCATCTCCCTGGCTTCCTGAGATGCAGCACAGTGGCCTCTGTGGTCACCTGCTGCGCAGTAGCACACCCCAGCCTCTGCCTTCTAACACTCGTAGCAGTGCATACACATCAGGGTTCCCCCTCCCCTCAGCCTCTGGGAACTACATCTCTCCTGGCAGCTTCTGTGGGATCTGCTTGATACAAAACCATAATTATTAACATATTAATTGTTCACATTAATGCGGTTCACTGTGATGTTTCCATACATGCACACGCTATGCTTTGATCATGCCCACCTGCCTTTTTAAAGGATATGATGCTTGTCTTCCTACGTCTGGCTCATTTCATTTACCATGCTGTCCTCGAGTCCTTCCATCGCCCGCAGATGACGTGATTTTGTTCTTCATGGTTGACTACTTTTCACATGCTATGTTTTCTTCATTCCTTGGGCGATAGGCACTGCGGCCGATTCTTGTCTTGGCCACTAGTAGTAGTGCTGCAGGAAATGTGGCAGCTCAGGGATGGTTCTGCATGTGGACGTCATTTCTCTTGGATAGATCGCAGCAGTGGTGTAGCTGGAGCATGTGATAGTTACAGTCTTCGTTTTTAAGCAGCTTCCGTCTGCCTTCCATAGTGGCTGTGCTAGTTTATGTTCCCTGCAGCAGTGCATGAGGTGCCTTTACCTCACACCCTGACCAGCATTTCTGATTTTTTGATAATAGCCTAAAATGGTCAAGTTCATTGAGATAAAAAATAGAATGCTGTGTCACTGTGTAGCATGTTCAGTTTATATATTGAATGCTGTCCTGTCTGCTGTCTCCACCCTGTTGCCCCCTGAGGTGGGCCTGGCCAGCACTGCTGCCCAGCTGGAGAAGAGGAGCCACACAAACACAGGTCATAGCAGTACATACACAGCTGTGGGGCACTAGCCTAGCTGGTGATGGCTGCTGATCCAAGGGAGCACCTGCCAGCCCAGCAGGGCCAGTGCCTGCATCGGCCAGCATCCCCAGTGTGCTCCACTGGGGAGAATATGGCTTCCCAGGGTGGCAGAGGGAGAAGGGACAGTTGCAGTTAGTTGTACAGTTGGGTCACAGAATCGCGTGGCAGTTTAGAAGTTAGAAAGCAGTGCTAACGGTGCAGGAATGCCTTCATCATGGCAGAGTGAGGTTTCTGGTGACTGTCTTACATTTACATAGTGGTAATGTACTTTTTTTTTTTCCCCAAACTTTAGCATCGTTGTGTGGCTATTTTTAAAGACAAACAGAACAAGCCGACTGGCTTTGCCCTGGGGAGCATCGAGGGGAGAGTTGCTATTCACTACATCAACCCCCCAAATCCGTAAGTGGAATTCAGTCAACTGGAAATTTCACTCAAGATTTATTTTTTAAAGGGAAGACTTAGATGTGCCTTTGTTTTTCAGTGCCAAAGATAACTTCACCTTTAAATGTCATCGATCCAATGGAACCAATACTTCAGCTCCACAGGACATCTATGCGGTATGTCTCTAGAAACTTAACTTTGACATGTAGAATCCAGACCTGGAGTGGGCTCACCAGTGATTACAGGGTCAGAAAGGACACATCCCAAGAGCACTGAGGAGCCTCTTATGTGTTCTCTGGGGGTAAATGGCTTCTGCATTGGTTTTAGTTTTCTGTTTTTAAAAACATATAGTCTGATTTGTTCTTAGTCTGTTTTGAAATGCAGGCTTGAGACATTTGGGGAAGTGTCTCATACCTTCTTCATGAGAGGGTGCTGGTCAACAGTTTTCACACACAGCCAATAACAAATTGCTCTTCACTGATAAAGAAGAAAGGCGCTTTCCTGAGATGCGCCTCGTGGTGCTCCTAGCGGATGCACACGTCAGTTCTGTGCCCTGGAGGGGGGCAGGGTTTAGCTCTGTGCTGGCAGTTGGTCCAGGAGACGTGGGAGTGAGGGACGACTTTGCCTCCTTCCTTCTGATTCCTGCAGGAAGCAGGTGCTGGCACGGACCTGCTTCTCCACTGCGCCTGCCTCTGCTCTCACTGTGTGTCGTCCTCTGCAGGTAAATGGAATCGCATTCCATCCTGTTCATGGCACCCTGGCAACCGTGGGATCTGATGGGAGGTTCAGCTTCTGGGACAAAGACGCCAGAACAAAGCTGAAGACTTCCGAGCAGTTAGATCAGCCGATATCCGCCTGCTGCTTCAACCACAATGGGAACATATTTGCTTACGCTTCCAGCTATGATTGGTCCAAGGTGAGGGTCCCCACCTGCTCCCCACGCTGTAAGGCAGCAGAGGCAGGCTCTGGCCAAGGCCTGCACTTGAGTTGTGACTTTGTTCTCCAGAGTTGCTGTTGTCCCCTTGGGAAGATCCTGTCACCTCCCTGTCAGGGGAACTCGTAGGCCTGCCTTTAAGGCTGTGTGGGTGCAGTGCAGGCTTTAGTCAGACCCACCCAGGAGGTGCTCCACCAGTGCAGGCTGTCGCCAGCTGCTCTCTCCTTAGGCACAGAGGCCTGGGCATGCAGGAGGCTGGTGTCTGGGAGCTGGGGTGGTTCCTGTGGTTTCTGGAAGGGTCATAGGCCAGGGCATGGAGCTGTCATGGAGCTATCTGGGCGGCCCTGGTGGTTTGCTCCTTGACAGGAGAAGTCAGGAGCTGTCAGGGTTCCACCTGCCTTTCCAGGCCTCAAGTTTGGTGGTGAATCGCAGGCCAGGGCTGCGTCCCACAGGGGAAGGAGCGGTGGCATGCTGGCCTCCCTGCCTGCTCCTGTCGGCTTTGGAGAGCGCAGCCCCGCAACTCGTGGTTCTGTCTCCCTCACCTCTCGCCTCGCCTCTTCGCCTCTCACCTCTCCGCTGCAGAGCAGCTTTTGAGCCCTTTGCCACCTGACCCTTGCTCCTGGCAGGGAGGTCACCAGCCTCCATCTCCCCTACCCATCTCCAGCTCCCTCCACCCTCGCCACTTGCCTCCACGTTCCCCATTCTGTTCCTTTCTATCCCTTCCTGGACTCCTTCCTTGTCCACCAGAAGCTGCTTTCTGTGTCGGGCACAGTGGTGCACATGCTCCTCCCTCGGCCTCTCTGCTGCTGCTCTTTGCTGCTGTGTCCCTCTTCCTACCGCTGATCGGGCCTGTCATGCCAGCCTTCTTCTCGCCTCGGCCAGGTTCTTGAGGTGCTCCTGCATGCCCAAGGCCCCAGCCCTGGCCTTGTGCACCCAAGGCTCCTTGGTTCCCACATGGCTACTAACCTCTCTCCCCACAGCACTGATCTCAGCCCGGCCAGCTGCACCCGCTGGTGCTCCTGAGGTCACCTTAGTTTTGCCTCCTCGGAAGAGCTGGGCAGTGACAGGTTCTGTCTCTTCACATGGCTGTTCTAGCCTGTGTGTGTCCCCTCTTTGGGCTTTTTTTTTAAGTAACCTTATCGGTGTGATTGAAGTGGAGCACGCAGCACGCATTTAAAGTGCACAGTTTGATCAGTTTCGACATCTGTAAATGCCTCTGAAACCACCTGTCAAGATAATGAGTGTGCCATCTTCCCCCAAGGTCTCCACCTGTGTGCTGACTCCTCCCCCCTGCACACACTGAACTCTGGATCTGCTTTCTGTCACTGTAGACCCACATGCACATTCTAAGATTTCTTGTAATAAGAGTCAACACACCACACACTCTTTTCCCCCGGCTTCCTTTACCCAGCTTAAAGGTTTTGAAATGCACTGTGCTGTTGGCACATGTCACATCACTAATCCTTTCATTTTCCATGCCAAGTAGTGTTCCATGTTGTGGACACACCACCATCCCTCTAACCACAGCTTCAGCTTTGCAAGAATGTGGACTGGCTGCTCCACCTGGCTGAGGTTGGGGTCTGGAGACCCCTAGCCCTGGCCATGGGCTCTGCTCTGAGTCTCCCGTGCCTAGCCCAGCAGCTGCATCACAGCTGCTCCTTAAGCCACACTCAGGGCTCTGCGCCGTACAAACATTTAAAAAAGTAGTAAAGTGAGAAGGCTTATCTGCTTTGAGTGCTCCTTAAAAATTGTCCAGGCAGTTAACGTCAGCTCACAGTGGGGTTGTGTAGGTCACAGTCAAGTTATAAAAACACCACCTCAGGAGTTTTCTGTAGTTCTTAGCTCAAGCACTATTAATATTAGCTTGCTGCTTGACTGTAGCCATTCAGAAAGCTTCACTTTATGTTATGGTGAACACCCAGAACTTTCTAAGCATACCTGTTGGGATGTCATTGCAGCACAAGTGGCAGAGTTTGTGAGTTGTGACCACCTGTCTCTCCCAGGCCTGTGCTCACGTGCTTTCTTCATAGTCGCCTGCCTTGCCCTCCCGCTTGGCTCTACCTAAAGGTTGGATCTGCTGGTGTCCCTGACCTCTTGACAGTCTGGCAGCTGCCATTCCTTCCTGTGGGGTGATGTTCAAAGTGCTTGTCTCGCATTCCAAGCCCCAGGCAGTGTGTCTCCCCCACCCCAACAGGCACACAACCCTGGGACCCCTGCTTTTCTCAGCTGCCCAGGGCCAGCTGCACCCTCCCTTAGGTCAGAGCTATCTTGACTGGAGGGTGCAGTGGTATTGCCCGTAGTTATGTGGGACGCTGCGGAAGGACCTGAACCAGGCCCTTAGCCTTCTCTCTGAGGACTAAAGCTTTTAACGCGTGACTTCTCCTTCTCTCTACCTTGGTTTGTTCTGTTCCAGGGAGGTTTTGCTTCTAGCACTTAGCACAGGAACCAGCATATAAAAAGGGTCACAGAAGTTGACTGTTCTCTTTTAGTAAGAAGATCCTTGTGTTTTTTTCCTCTTTAGGGACACGAGTTTTATAATCCGCAAAAGAAAAATTACATTTTCCTGCGTAATGCAGCTGAAGAGCTAAAGCCCAGGAATAAGAAGTAGCAACCTGAGACTTCTGGTTGTCCAGAGTTGTTTTCTCTCCGCTCTGAGGGCCCCAGCTATGGGCACCTCGGCCATGGACGTGGATTCCAACCCCTGGAGGAAACAGGTCACTGCTGAGCAGGCAGCCCGGCTGTCCACGGCAACTTGCCGCCTCTGTTCCACTACTTGCTGCAGAGTTTTCTTGTTACTCTAAGGGGAACAAAATTATTATAGAAGTTAGAGTCTTGTGGGCAGTGCCAGGTATTTTACTGTGCTTCCTTCAGCAGCATATGTGTTAGAGAATTTTGGGAAACCAACTATCAACCCTGTATTGTATTTTGTAATAAAATATTTTGAAGGTTGCCGCTAGCTCTTTCTGTCCTTCTCCCCTGTCCTGCCTGCCCTGAGTCCTCAGCAGTGATTATCCTGCTCAGCATCAACACTGGGCTGTGAGTTATTTTCACCCATCTTGGGAAATGCAGAAATCTCGCACCTTAGAAAATGAATCCCGAGCTGTGATCACCCCTGCCCTGTTGCATGTCCTAGTCCCTCCATGTGTTGGCAAGCAGAGTGGAATGGTTTTCCTTTTGCTTCCCTTTAGCATTCTCAGTGCTACCCGGCTCTACTGGGTAGTTTCCTGGCCATTCTGAAGTGGGAACTGTCCTCTTCCTAAGAGACAGGACTTTGGTGGGCTGCCTTGCAAGGCCCAGATGGGTGGCATTTGTGTGGTCTTCAGGTTAAAACCAGGTCCCCTGCATGGGAATTGCTCTGAACTTGTGCCCCCGGTGGTGGTCATGTTGAGTGTTGCTCTTTCACTCTGGAAACGCCCTGACTGGTAAGTATCCAAAATGAAACTCGGTGTTTGTTGTTTGAGGCTGTTGTACCCTGTGGTTCCAAGCACTGTGAATGCCATGTTGCTTTGGGGCTGCTGACTGTGGAGATCTGACATCAATACTGTTCCAAGATGGATTTGCCTGTTCAGAAGCAGCAGTAGAAATAAAGTTTGCTGCCAAAAGAGTTTGCCTGTAATCCATGCTTTAAATTCTTTGTAGATCATGAATAAATTAGACCTGTTAATTCTTGGCCCCTGTTTTTCAGCCTGCAAATTTTAATTTTAGTGAGTAAAAAAGTAGGTACACAGGGCATGGTGGCCATGCCTATAATCCCAACAGCTCAGGAGGCTGAGGCAGGAGGATCACAAGTTCAAAGCCAGCCTCAGCAACTTACTAAGACTCTAAGCAACTCAGCAAGAACTTGGCTCTAAATAAAATATTAAAAAGGGCTGGGAAGTGGCTCAGTGGTTAAGGCCCCTGGGTTCATTCCCAGGTATCAAAAGAAACCTGTTATTCTCAAGTTAACTATTCAGAGCTAATTCTTCCCTGTGTGAATCAGCCCTGTGGTTTTATGGCCCTATATATATGTGAAAATGGAGCAGGAAGCAGAGACTGTGTGGAGAGATCCAAGCTTGATCATCTCCATGGCCAGCTTTACTTGGGACTTGTCAGCTTTAACTTGGTGCATCATTCTTTTAAGTTTCATCGTTCTTTAAGGAGCCAGTGACTGGCTGTGGTTGAAAATGACAAGTCCAAGTCATGAATCTGTTAAGTGGTCATTTTCCAGGATTGGGCCGTGCACATCATCAAAGGGGGGATAGTTTTTCTAATTGGCAGGTTTGAAACGATTTGCTTAAATCCAGGATTGGACTTGGGCTGCCAGAAACCCAGAGTGAAGGAGCTGGGTGCCCACAGGTGGGAATCCTAGTTTAGACACCAGAGCTCATGTCTCTGCCACCCAGAATCTGGAACATAAAGTGTGACGAGCCAGTGTTTGTTGAAATCATGAAGCTTCTTAAAGTATTTGCTTACACATTTCCTAAAATGTACCTGGACTCTTCAAGGAGCTTCCTCATCCCTGCAGGCACCTGTACTGAACGTTGTTTGTAGTAGCTGCTGGGTAAGTATTGATACTTAATGCTCAGATTTGGAAGGGGTCAGGTGCCCTTGGCTGCTGTGATAAAGGTCAGGAGTTGTTCCACCACTGAACCTTCACCCATGACCCCGTTGAGAACAGCTGCACCTGTGGAGCCCCGAGCCTCGTGCAAAAGACTTTGAGTTCTTTCATTTCATGTTTTCAAACATTTTTATTAAGAAAGTTCACAGCATAGAAGAAGGGGGAGAGATGTGACAGAGACACCCTGGGCTCGGGGAATGTGGACTCGACTCTCCCATTCTTGCTGCCAGGCTTTCCTCTCACCCCTGGTTTGCAGCACCACTGCCTTGGCAGCTGGTCAGCACGGGCTGGTGCCCAGAGCTGCAGGCGAGACGGTGCTGGGCGAGGTGGTGTTGCAGGTCTGGAGGCGTGGGTGGGGGACAGTGGCAGGGGCATGTGGCCTTGTGAAGCCTGCCTGAAAGCCCACCTGTCGTGCCCTGTGGGCACAGGCACCTGGTAGTCTGGGAGCCAGGGACCAGCTGACCCCTGCCTCCCAGCCCCACTGGAGATCGCTTCATGCCAGAGGAGCCTCTGGGGGAGCAGAGCACACACCCACCAGTGTGGAGCGTGGAGAGCTAATGATAGCGTTCCCGGGCTTGCACGTTCAGCCACCTCCTCCCTGTTTTTCACTTACTTTTCTTTAAATTCACCCTAAAAAACAAAGTGTTGAAAATTTTAGACCCCAAGGCAACAAACTGTGAAGAAGTGACTACTAGGTCAGGAGGCTCTGCCCTGGCAAGTGGGTCGGTGCTCGTGTCCCAGGAGAATGGCTCCAAATAGGAGGACTGTGTTCCCTGCCTGCAGCGTGCGCTCAGGCCCTTGCCTGACAAAGCAGCAAGGTGCTAGCACCTTGAAATTCTCTTCCTCACCTCCAAACTCTGAGAAATTTCCTTATAAATTGCCCAATTTGTGGTATTCTTTTACCAACACAAATAAACTAAGACAATTAACTTTTTTAAAACGTAAAATAAATGTCAAGTTTATAGAAAAAAATATGGAAAACTAGGATCTTTGTGTAAAGTCAGGCATAAACACAAGAACTGATACAATGAAAATAAACAACAAAGATGAGACCTGGGACAAGAGAAAATGTGCCAGCTGACAGCATCCTGGGGTCACCTCACTGGAGAGGTCTGTCAGCCGATGTCATTCTGTCTCAGCTACTTGATGGAGCCTATCTCCAGTTCTGGGAGTGATTCAGGAAATTTTTTTTCCTTGTTTAACCAAAATCTTGAGTCTCCTTTGAAGGAGGGGCTCTGTCAGGAGTGAGCTAACATGTGCCCCAAACACGGGGCCATCAGGCAGCCTTTTCCAGGTGGAATCACAGCCCACTGTGAGTTCCAAAGTGAATATAGTTGTGGCACCTGGCATTTAACTAAAAAATAGAGCCACAACAGAGCCCAGACCCTGCCGAGGAGCACCACTTAAGGCAGCTTGCGTGGCCGCCTGTGGTGCCTCTGTTGCTTTTGTGTCATGGATCTTGACACCCATGGGTGGGATTTTCCTCGGCCTATTGTTTGGGTGGTTTAGTATGCACTCTTGAGGTCCCATGGCCTCGAGTCGCACCTGCAAGTGGTAGCAGAACTGTTTCTTTGCATTCCTCCCAAAGAGGGGGCGACCAGGGGGGTGGCTGACATTGATGATGTGGTATTTGGCACTTGCATATGCTCCTGGAGTGGATGCCTGGCAGCAAATCCCTCCCCTCACCACTGTGCAACCTGGAGTGTGTGATTGGAACCTCTGAGCCTCAGTGGCCTCAGCTGTAAGACAGTCACAAAAGTTTGCTGTCTGTAGTCAGCGTTGAGGCCCAGAGGGTGGCTCCATGGCTGGCCCATGTCTACTGTTGCCAACATAACTGCCAGATGGGGTGGCGCCTACCTTGGTTGTCCTTAAGAATTCCCGTAGTGGAAGGTGGTTTGGGTCAGGCCAGCAGATGGCGCCAGTGAGCCCGGTACCAGGACTGGAGCAGGTGCTGGTGTGTGGTCCCAGGACACTGGCAGTGAGAGTCATCTGCCTGGCCAGTTTGCTGTTGTCACCAAGCTGACAAGATATTTGAAAAATGCCGTTGAAAGATTGTTTTTCCCGTTGAGAGAATATTCTTAATACTTTGTAGAATGTTTGGTGGCCTCCTTGGAAAATTGAAAGAGACAATTTGTCAGAAGTCAGATTCCTGATTTCTCTATTTCGTACGTAATGTCCCCCTCATGAGTCTCCTCGGGGACACTGGAGCCTGGAGCCCACTGGGGCTCTGGGCACTTGCTTCCCTGAGCACTGTTCGTGACCTGGTTTGGGAGGAACCATAGGAAATGCAGATCTCTGTTCCAAGCCATCGTGGTCATTCAGGGCAAACAGGGTCATTTAAGACGAGATTTAACTTTGAAGGCACCGGAGTTGGTTGGCCTAATGTACAGCAGACTCAGATCTTAGTACAAAAACTGGGTGTAAAAGTCTCCATTTTTATACCAGTTGGTTACATGTTGAAATGTTGATGTTCTGGATAATAAAATGAGAATTTCCCCTGCTTAATGTGTTTTGTGTCACTATAACAATCCCTGAACTGGGCACTTTACCAAAACGAGGTTCATTTGGCTCACGGTTCTAGTGGCTGAGGTCCACACAGCACCACAAGGAGCCCAGCTGCGACACACGCTGGTGGTGGCATCGGATGGCGGGAGCTCAAGGCAGGTGAAGAGGGGCTCATGGATAGAGAGGAAGTGTGGGAGCCCTGAAAGCAGTACTTGCTTGGCAGCATGAGGTGCAGCCCCAGGAGCGACCCTCCTGAAGGGCACTCATCCCTTCCCAGGCCAGTGGCCTCGGCTCTCCCGCCTCCCAAGGACCCAGCACCTCAGCCTCCCATGCTGAGGCCATGCCCCAGCACTGGCCTTGGGGGATGGAGCACAGCTGGACCACAGCAGTGCGCTTCCACCCTAGTCCCAGGAGAGCTCCGTGGCCCATGCACTGGCCTCTGGCCTGGGGAGGTCTCACCACTCATCCCCCAACTGTTAGCACGCGCTGCACGATCTTGTAAAAGCAAATTTTTGCAGAGAACTATTCACATTTTACTTCTGAAACTGTTTGGCAGAGTCAGTGAATTTGCTCCTGTGTCGACTTCTTAACCGTCGCTGACTACAGGGAACTCTTGGTGAAGCGCAGTGTCCTCTAAGCCACAGGCGTCCTCAGATGTGCTGGATGTCAGGACTCCAGAAGGCTTGTGTGCTCCATTGTCACGACTGCAGGGCTGTTGGACTCGGGGTTGAGGTCGAGTCTGTGTGTACCCTAACATCCTCGCTCTGGCTGTGGCTCCAGGGCACAGGGACAGCCGTGTTGGCACAAGCTTCCGTTTGTTTCCTGTGAGGCGCTGGCTCAACACCCA